AAACTATTTAGTTGAGAGTCAGTGGAACTGCAAGGTTGTGGCCACATTCCCCGGGAGAGCTGCTGATCTAATCTCAGACGACCTTGGGCTCCACTAGGGTAGTTAGTTGCTAGGGAATGAACCAATAGTTTCCAACCACCCCAAGATTTTGTACAGAAAATGTTAGGAGTATTATTCTAGTTCTTAATCATGTTTTGAGATTAGTTTATTGGCATCTTATACTCTGAGTGATGTGTTCATATTTATGTGAAAACCAAAGAACCTATAAATTTAAAATAAATTGTTGCTTTAAAAAAAAAAAAAAAGAGTTGGATGCTTAACTGACTGAGCCACCCAGGTGCCCCAAACTATATGTTATTTTTACATGATGTTAACACAAGCAGTGTGGAACATGCTTCTAATTAGGTTTTATCTGTAAGAGAACAGAGTGCAGAAGAGCTGGTAAACTGACAATTGCCTTTCTTTCATGTATAACACAGTTATTCTATGGATATGATCACTAGATTACAGCTATTATCTTTCAGTTCTTTTGGACTCATGTTTTTAACATACCTAATCCTTGGTAAATGTTCTTGTATTAATAATGCCTGCATTTGTTCAATTTGCTGTCAAGAATAGTATGCTCAGAAGAGGATGTACAACATAGGGCACACAATGTTTATTACTGCCAACCTTCCAATGAGCTGTCAGCACAGAGCCTGATGCAGGGCTTGAACTCATGGACTTGAGATCATGACCTCAGCTGAAATTGGATGCTTAACCCACTGAGCAACACAGGCACTGCTAAACATTTTTTTAATAAATGTTTCATTAAAAAAATTTTTTTGAGAGGGAGAGAACACGTGCACATGTGCACGCCCGTGAGCAGGGGAAGGGCAGAGAGAGAGGGAGAGAGAATCCCAAGAAGGCTCTGCACAGCACAGACCTCATCGTGGGGCTTGATCTCACAAACCTCAAGATCATGAGCCAAAATCAAGAGTCAAAATTAAGAGTTGCTTAGCCAACTGAGCCACCTTATTAAACATTTTTGAGGCCTTACGATGACTGAGACTATGGCCTGGGACTACAAAGATGTATGATATGACCTCACAGAGCTCACCGTATACTGGGGAGGGCAGATGTAAACAGCTAACTAATGTGCAATCCAGGAGCACAGTACAGAGTCCCTTAGGAACACAGGGAAACATGTCTAACACAAGGGTAGATTGTCAAGCTCATATAACTAGTAACAGGCAGAGGTAGTACTTGAACTAGGACTGATTTCAAACCTTCATACCTCAGAGTCACTTGATGATGACGGTGCCATTCAGTGCCTGTGCTGCTCCAGATGTATCAATGCTGCAAAGGTGGTGGTGCTGCCGTGCCCTTCTCAGGGCCGTTTTTGTCCACACAGCTGGCTTTCCAGCCTAGCTCCAACTCTGACTCAAGGGAGACAATGAGGTCTCTCCCTCCTTGAGCCATCAGGGTCACGTCTGATGGGCTGCTACATAACCTTATGAGGCCAACCTTTCTCTGAGGAGCCCACTTTCCTTAACGCTCACCAGGCAGAGGCAGCTCTGTAGTAAGGCTGAGACCCAGAGGAGGGATGCGTGTGAGGGGTCTGGAAATACCAGTGAAATGGTTGGAGCTACTCACTCCATCCCCACCTCCCCGTCATGCTCCGGCTGATACATGAGGGACTCTGCGCAAGGTCACCTATACATCAGCAACATCAAAAATGATGAGAATAATTCTAGATTTTATGAAGGTAATTTTAAGTTGGGAGGGGGCGGGTAGCAACTTTCAGACAATGTCTACATCAGAGGTTTAGCATCACAAATCCTAGCTTTACAAGCAGGCAGGAGGTAAAGTGTGAAGAGGAACAAAAGCTGGGGCAGGCTTTGACTTCCCTGACATGCACCACCCCCTGTCCCCGATTCCATCAATACAAGTTTTACAATAAAGAATAAATGGATGCCTGCACCAATTCCAAGACACCACTTTTACACTATGAGTAACTAACTCTGCTTAAAGCTGTCACTTCTTGGGCTGCCTGGGTGGCTGTCGGTTGAGCGTCCGACTCTTAATTTCAGCTCAGGTAGTGATCCCAGGGTTGTGAGATCAAGCCCTGGGTCAGGCTCTGGGCTGAGAATGGAGCCTGCTGCTTGGGATTCTCTCTCTCCTCCCTCACTTGTGTTCACTCTCACTAAAAAAAGAAAAAAAAAAAAAAAAAGCTGTTACTTCTCTTCTCTTCTTATGGGCAAGGATCTGCTTTCTTTGACTAAAAAAATCGGAAGTCCATTACTCACAGAAATATAGTGGAAGCTAATGTAGGTTTTAAAAAGTCAGTATTTAGGAGACGCTTAAGAAGAGCAAGCAAGACTGGGAATAGCCATCACAGGATACGCTAAGTAGGGCTGAGTTTGGAAATAATAGTCAATGTTTACTGAATGGTTCTCGTGTTAAGGGTTTTGTAGGTATTATTCCTCACAATATCCCAGTGAGTTAAGTTCTTTTATTGTAAAAGGGAAGCTGAGACTTAGAGAGGTCACACAGTAGGAACATGGACAAGAGGACATGGGAGGCAGGCCATAGCTTTCTGAAGCTCGGACTTTTACCACTATGCTCTACTAGATTTCAGTCATAAAACCTCTTCCCCGTCTCAGTCTTGGCATGATTCACATCAACTAGGGTGCTAAGGTCCTCACAGTGCCGTTGGCTGATGGACAGGCTTCGGAGATGTGTCTGCTGTTGACGAGCATTTTGAAGTTGCAGACGTGGTAGGGATGCTGTAGCTGGAGGATGGCTATTCAACAAGGTCTTCAGAGAAAGTGAAATTGTGCAGCCTCAGCCTTCCTTCAACCTCTGTAATGAGCCCCTGCTTCTGAATCATAGGTACCAAACTCACAAGATGCTAATGTATAGAATGCCAACTTACCAGTTTACGATGGTAAGACACACCCTTCCAGTGAGTGACTGGAAGAGTTACTGTTCCGAGAACTCCCTAAGAATCCAGGTTTATAGAAATCTCCTCAGTCACCATAACTTCATTTGTTGAACTCAAATGAGAATAAAGGGACAGGATGGCACTGACGTTTGGGAGCCCAGAAGGGCAGCTAGAGCTACAAAACCAGAGGCAGTGCAGGACCAGTTCGTTTAGAAACAAGAGAGTGCTGTGACTCAGGACGATTAAGTAGAGTCTAATAATGAATATGTACATAGATGATCCTCACGTATCTTGGGCGTTTCTAAAAGATGTCCGACAGACTCCTTTAGTTTCATGCAAGTACTTTGTCTTAAGCTGTCTGGTGAATGAGATAATCTTGTAGTAACACATCTTAAAAAAAATTTTAAAAATTAAAAAAAAAAGGAGCGCCTGGGTGACTCAGTTGGTTAAGCGTCCAACTGTGGCTCAGCTCATGATCTCACGGTTTGTAGGTTCAAGCCCCGCGTCGGGCTCTGTGCTGACAGCTCAGAGCCTGGAGCCTGCTTTGGATTCTGTGTCTCCCTCTCTCTCTGACTCTCCCCTGCTCATGCTATCTCTCTCTCTCTCAGAAATAAATAAAACATTAAAAAAAAAACTACACATCACTGACTGTAAACTATTAGCAGTACAATGCATATATTGCTAGCAATCCAGGGCCACTACTGCTAAAACAAAATATTTGGAGATTATCATATGAAAGTGAATAATTTTGACTAAGCTCCTTGAGGACCTAGAACACTCAAAGATAAAGGTCTACAGAAAATATTTCTAAAGAAAAAGCAAAACTTTTCTTCCTCAATACAGAGAAATATATACTTGTTAATACCAAAGCTATGGTCAATGCTTACATTTAAGTCCATTTTTAAAAAATTGCCAAAACCTCATGCGTCAGTGCTATGTGCATATAATCCAAAACCCTGTACTATGGTATTCTTCATTGATACTTAGAACACAGATGAAGGATGTCTTTATAAAACTAATTACCTTTTTAAATTTTTTTAAAAATTTAATTTTTTTTTTAAATTTTAGAGAGAGAGAGAGAGAGAGAGTGAGCACATGTGAGCAGGGGAGAGGGGCAGACAGAGGGAATCTTAAATAGGCTCCACACTCAGCATGGATCCTGACTCAGGGCTGATCTCATACATGACCCTAGGATCATGACCTGAGCCGAAATCAAGAGTCAGACACTCAACCAACTAAGCCACCCAGGTGTCCCTAAACTAAATACCTTATTTGAAATGCATAGTCATCTAATTTACCAACTTGGTGGTAGTCAACAGATAGGGACTGAATTTCATTCAAAGAGAATTACAGAGCATGAGAACTAAATCATCTGAGTGTTCCTAAAAAATAAATCGGTGCCCTTTTACTCCACCTGAATTAAAACGAGGATGAGTCACATCCACGTTCATGGGAATTATAATAAATGACTCCTGAAGCAGACTCTTAAGATCAGTGCTATGAACACACTGAGATCATACACAATTAATCAGTGCTACAGTTTGATTTTATTTTTTAATTTTTGTTTTAAATCTTTAAAATCTCAAAACATACCTTTTTATTACTTTTAGCACACAAAATAATTTACTCATAAAAGTAACATCCATTTACAGAACTCTAATAAAATTTTTTCAAAACTTAAAAATAAATAGCACTCTTTTGCAATTCTGATTTTACAGAGAAAACTTTTTGGCACATAATGTTCTATCAAAATAGAAAGCTGAATCACTTTGCTTTTCACAACAGAAATAGGCATTCACGCTATCAGCCTTGGGAAATTGGTGACAGGAAAAATTCTCAGGCAAGTAGCATCACTGGAAAAAATGGGATCTGGTACCATCTACTGAGTGGCAGTGGTAATGTGACCTTGGGTATTAGCCACCAAGTTAGGAAACATTAAATTGTAGCTACAGGCAGCTGCACATGTACACATGTGGTCAAGGCCTGAAAGTAACATGCAAAATGAAAACAACTGCTATGTTAGGACTGAGGAATGGATGGGTGTTTTTCCCCCTTTAAATGCCATCCTACCTTTAAAAAAAAAAAATCAGGTAGTGAAAAATAATTGCTGAACATAGGGAATACTGAAGAGGGGAAGACTTTGGTAAATTAAGCAAATGAAAAGTTCTATGATTCAGAGGGACTCAGGTAGGGTCTCTTCCTCATGGGGAGGCTGGTGGAAGGCAGTTATATCTTTGGGTATTTACAGTAGGTCAGCATTAAGGATTTCTCTTTTTTTCTACTCTTTACATTAAAATCTGGTTTACTTGAAGAAATTACCAACCCAGACTGCCAATAAAGCAGCACCTGGGAACTATAATGACAGTCGATGCCAATACTGATCGTCTGGAGGCACCAAAAGCCCTGAAGGGCTCTTCTGATTCGCAAAGAGGATTTTCGTTTTGTTGACTACTCAAGCAGACCTCCTCCACGCCAATAACGGGCGTGTGCCCAACAGCCGCGCCACAACCCTGGCAGTCTTGGAAAGGTAGGTTTCCGGCAACATTTTCATGGGCTAGCAAGTTTGTTTATTTTTTTTGGTAGTAGCTTTTGAGAATGTTACTTTCTCATCCTGCCAGGATGCCCTGAGTACTAAGAGGATGCCTAAGCATGCTTGTGGTTATTCCTTCATGATACTTGTAATCCATAATTTGTTTCCTAGCCATCCCCTAAGAGGGCAGGGGGCTTGTATGTCCTGTTCATTACCATATATCCGGCACTTAATTATGTTTGGCAGATGTAAATGCTCAATAAAGGTCAGCTGATTGAGTGAATAAATGAATTTTGTACAGTCCAACTGATCTAAGGGGAGAAAACAACCCACACAAAATGAGGAAGCCTATGATGGAAAGGAAGAAAAATAAGCAACAATTATTTGGGGAGAGGGAGGGTAGACCTGATGTCAGAAAATAATTGTCATCATTCAACAACTGCTGAGATCTGTTTGAGATTCAAAATACCTAAAAGATTTTAATAAAGTTAATATAAAAACTAAGTTTTCTCTGGAAGACTCATTTACAGTAAGTTAATGAAAACCCTGTTATTACATCAAGATGTTATAGAAGCCTAGTGTTTTGTTGTTTCAAGATGGAGAACACTCTGCTAAATATACCAGGTGAGTGTCTACAGCCCCATACAGGGAGTTCAGCACATTAAGGACTTTCTCTTGAATGGTGTCAACTTGCTCAGAAGGACAGTAATCATCCAGACTTGACCTGGAACCAAGAAGAGAAAGAAGAAGAAAAATAGACATAAATGAGATCATACTGTGCAGTGAGAAAAGTCTGCATGTGTTGACTTCAATATATAATAGACATGAAGGTATGCTGAATTTTGGAATAGTAATAGTTGGAAGCTAGTAAATACTCTGTCGAGTACATGACACTACGTTCTTTAATATTCTCAGCAACTCTATGAAATAGGTACATTTACTATCCCTTTAAAGGAATCTGAACAGAAACATTAACCTGCATAGCTAGTAAGTGCAGGTGACGGGATTCAAAATAACACGGCATGCTTCAAAGCCTCAGTGCTTCATTATTAGACTGCTGTTTTCTGGAAGGAAGATACTAGAAATACTGGGGGTTAATATCTTAGTGAGTAGACATCTTTCCCATTATTTTAGTATGAGTATACTAGGGCTAGAAATTACACAGGTAGAGTCCTCCCAACTGATAATAGGTTTCTTCTGCAAACTATTTATTAACAATACAGTATACAGAATTATCCAGAATCAAATGTGGAGATGTGCTATTAGGATTAGTTTCCTAAATGGTATTAAGAAGAAAAGAGCAAAGTAGGATAAGGCAGAAATCTGTATTTTAAGGACTCTTTCTTCTAGAATCACCAACTACAACTTTAGTTACCAACTAGTTACAACGTCACTGATAACTATGGCCCGATTAAGATCTGAAATTATTTGATCAGTGTCTCCTGGTTCTGGATAGGGGTGAAAAAAGCCATTTTAGGATTGGAAAGAGTAGCATAGAAATTTTCACAGAAGGAAATGGAAGGGTGTCTCAGTGGCTCAGTGTCTCAGTCAGTTAAGCGTCCAACTCTTGATTTCAGCTCAGATCAAGATCTCACGGTTGTGGGACTGAGCCCTGCATTGGGCTCTGCGCTGACAGCACGCAGCCTGCTTGGAATTCTTTCTCTCCCTCTTTCTCTCCCTCTCCCCTACTCTTTCTCTCAAAATAAATACAAATTAAAAACAACTTAAAAAGGGGTGACTGGGTGGCTCGGTTGGTTAAGTGTCAAATTTTGGCTCAGGTCATGATCTCACAGCTTGTGAGTTCGAGTCCCGCATTGGGCTCTGTGCTGACAACTCAGAGCCTGGAGCCTGCTTGGGATCCTGTGTCTCCCTCTCTCTTTGCCCCTCCCCCACTCATGTTCTTTCTCTCTCTCTCTTTCTCTCTCAAAAATATATAAAAAACATTAAAAAAAAAAAACTAAAAGAAGAAGAAGAAAATGGAATTAGTTATCTAGCTTAGTCCTTGTCACAAGTATTTTAGACCTAAAGACATAATCTGTAAGACTTCTGATAAACTCATTCCATTCTCTGGCAATCAGGTTATTTTTGAGACTAAATGTGAACATTTAACACACAATAAACGAGACAGAGCAATTAAAATTATTAAATACTACCTAATTTGTGGATAAAGACCTACTTCAAGAAAGAATTATATGTAAAAGTTTAATTTATAACCCTCAATGAATAAGTAGTTCGAAGCTTCTGAAAAGGTTTCTGACTTCTTTAAAACACTGTTAGAGTGGTTCTTGATGGAAGCTACCCCCAAGAGGGAGTTTTGGAAATCTGCAGGTGCATTTCTGATTGTCACCATGACAACAGAAGGGCCAAGGCAAGAGAACAGGGCTGCAAGAATGCTTGCACCGTGCAGGACAGCCCTGCGCTAGCAATGTGGATATGAATACTTGCCTGTGTCCTACGTCCTCTCCAAAGTTCATGGAGCACTCACATAAGTGAAAACCATTTTTAATTCTTTGAGCCTAGAATTTAATACTCTTTTACATATGAACAAAGTATTTTTTGAAAATGGATTAAATATAAACTAAATTTCCCAGGAATGCAACTACTCTGTATATTGAGGGAAGACTGGACTTTAAGTTCAGAATTTTACCAAGAGGTTGTTATGACCAGAAAAAACATGTCACATGGGGCACCTGGGTGACTCAGTCAGTTAAGCATCTGACTTTTGATTTAAGCTCAGGTCATGATCTCATAGATCATGAGACTGAGCTCCACATCGGGCTCCATGCTAACAGTACAGAGCCTGCTTGAGATTCTGTCTCTTTCTCTCCCTCTCTCCCCCTCTCTCAAAACAAATAAATAAACTGGGAAAAAAAAAAACTGGAAAAGATAAACCCTGTCACTATGGCAGTGCAGTTTGGGTATTTGGCCAATACATCATGTGATTATGTGACTGCATTTGTAACTGTTACATTTAGAGACTCTTTGTAAAGATGCTAGTCTTGTGTGGCATTTTAATACATATTATTTTATCAGTTACTTTCATTTCTTTTATGACACTTTTGTGTGTACACATATATAAACATAGATTTAAATTATGTGTAAATTTATGTGTACAGGTATATTACTGCTATAGAATAAATGTGTCTCTCCAAAATTCCTATGTTGAACCTAATCCTCAATGTCATATTTTGATTAGATCATGAAGATGAACTCAAGAACAAAATTAGTGCTGTTATAAAAGAGACCCCAGAGAGCTCCTTCACAAAGTTTACAGGGAGAAGACAGCTATGAACCAGGAAGCAGGTCTTCACCACATTGAATCTGTTAGTAACTTTATCTCAGACCACCCAGCCTCCAGGACTGTAAGAAATGAATTTTTCTTATTTATGAGCCACCTGGTCTATGGTATTTTTGTTAATGTAGCCTGAATGAACTAAGACAATGATAACATCCAAATATTATGTATAGTATCTATATATATTTAAACTCTGTGTGTATGTATGTAGGTTAGGTCATCTATGAATTTCATTTCAGGATGGTGTAAAAGGATGTTACAAAATATTTGTCATAAAATATATAAAAGTATTAACTTCATAGTTCCATACAAAACCAGCCCAAAGATGAACATGGAAAAGTTTCATTAAATTGTTGTAACTGTTCAGCACATTATTATGTTCAAAATTAAAACATGGCAGCAGCTAAATATTCATTTGCAGGACACAGAAATAGGAATTCCTGTGTTCATCTGAATAGTATCGCCAACTTCAAAGACAAGATAATAAGAACTGGAGGCTTTTTGCTAACCATCACTTAGAGGAAAGAGAAACTACAACATCTGAATTTTGAGCTGAATAGGTAAAAAATTGGTTGGAATTACTGTATTAGTAATCAGTAGATTCATCTATGGAGACTACTAATTTCTTATGGCTGCTGTAACAAATTGCCAAGAACTTAGCAGCTTAAAGGAACACACAATTATTATCTTAGGGTTTTGTTGGAATCTAGAAGTCATAAAATAAAGAGGCTAGCAGTGCTGCATTCTTCTAGGTTCTGGGGAGAATGTTTCTTTGAATTTCCAGCTTCTGGAAGCTGTCTGCAATCCTTAGCTTGAAGTCCTATCGTCCAGTCTTCTAAGCCAGCAGCCTAGCACCTTCCAATTTCTCAAACTCTGACCTCTTGTCCTCCTCTTAAAAGGACCACTGTGATCACAATGGCCCACTGGATAATCCAAGGCATTCTCATTTCAAGATCCTTGAGTGACCTAAGACTGCAAAGTCCCTTTTCCTATAGAAGGTAACATATCCACAGGTTCTGGAGATTAGGACACAAACATGTTTGAGGTACCACTATTCAGGCTACCACACTTACCTTGCAATTGTCACAAGAGTAGGTTTTGGTAAATTTTTCAGTAAATAATATACAGACTGAATAAGATACTCAATTTCTTGTTCTGTACTGATATGGTGAGGAAGTTCTGAATAATCACAGGTTAGACCAGCCTGGTGAACCTGAAAGTTAAGAAAATTAAGAAATACACTGTAAGGTTTTATTATTTTTAGAAACTTCTTTAACCATTAGAGGACTTGCTGATACATTTTTAAATAATGTTGTAGACTGGGATTGTTTTTTCCTTTACAACTTCTGTGTCATAGAAGTTACCCATTGTCTCAAGTTTTGGAAGAACTGGCCTGCATACCTGTTTGGGACTGATGCATTTAACTTTTTTAATTTTCTAATTATGTATTAATTCAGCTTCTGTCTTTACATGAGTCTGTTCTGATAATTTATAGTATTTAGGAAATTATTCATTTCACCTAGATTCTAAAAGCTAATATAAAATTGGATATAATATCCTGGTCTTACCTTCTCTTTCAACATATTATTTTATTTTTAAAATAAATGCATCTAGTCTATATTCAAAGTCGATATTCAAAGCTTTAAGAGGATATAAGAGAAAGTCTTCCTCTTGTCGCCAGTTTCTTACATATCCTTTATGTACAACCAAATAGTACTGGCATCCCTGTAGGTGCTTTAAATATAAATGACTGGTGTTCCATTCTCACAGCACTAAACTGTGCCTGAAAGCTAGAAGTGGCTCACAGGCTAACATTTTATATCCTTTGCTTGAAGTTTTGAAAACTAGAACTCAAGTATGTCACTGTTTTGCCTACTGTATATAAGCGCAAATCATGGAAAAAAAACCATTAATCTGCTACTTTATTGGAGGCCCTGAATACACATCAAAAATTTAACTAGGAACAATTGATGTAGTAAAATGACATGAATGTTCCTTTTTACTGAATGGATCAAAACACTTAGTGTTCTAACCCTGCAGCTATAGGTGCATCATATTTAATTACATTATCTGCAACCAAGCCCATGCCATCCTTTCAGTCTTTCAACAATGTACACCCTCCCCCGAAACACTTGAAAATCCAGATGCAATATAATGATTATAGCCGACCTGTAGGAAGACACACTCAATAATATCATGTGAGCTCAAAGCATTTTTAAATCCTAAGTATCTTCTAACTCTATCATTTTTAATAACTGCCATTATAAAAGGTGGGGTTGGACTAATTCCAATTTAAGCAAAATATTATTTTGTTAGTATTTTTTATTCTTATAAACTTGGCATTAAATCAATACATAAACTTCAGTTCAAGTAAGGTGGTTTGACTGTATTCCACAACTAAATAAAACACTAGAGCAAAAACAATTTACTGGAAGTAAAAGCAGTGCAGGAGTACAAGAAGAAGACTTGCAGATTTTAGTTTTGGCACAAAATCTGAGAAAAGACACCTGAACTTCAAATGGGAAAATTTATGCTTCAAATACTGCAACAGGATATAAAAATTAGAGAAATTATCATTAAAAGTATCCACTTTTGCCACAACTTTCAGGTCACTGGTGGCAAATACAGTCAGTGGTACAGCTGATATGGCTGGGATGCACCTGCCACAACACCTTCTTTTATCCTTCTGCTGGGTTTTTACAATCCGGAAAATTTTCAGAGGGAGGGAAGAAAGGAGGAGGAAGGGAGTGTAAAAATGAATAAATAAAGAAGGGACAACTTTAGAAAGCTTATTTTTTGGAAAACTTTTCCAACGTTCTGGCTTCTAAAAGTTTGTATTTTTTCATTTCTTCCCATTTAAAAAAAAAGAATTCATTTACACTTCTTTGGTACAAAATAAAAGCAAACCACTTAAATAAAAAGTACTTCTACTACCCAGAAAAATGCCTTTCTAAAGGGTCAGTTTAATACTTCAATATATTTACCATTTCATAGTCTGGTACTTCCATCCGTTTTTTCAAACTCTGTACAAGTGGAATTAGTGATTCCATTCTGGAAAAAAGCCACCCCTCAATTAAACATCATACCACCTCAACTAAAATTACAGAAGCAAATGATATGTTACACTTAAAATATACCTTTAACAATATATTTCACATTGAGAAATGAAAAATAACAATATTCAAATATCATCTTAAAATATTAAGACATAAATGTTCCCTGTTTTTTCTCACCGAAAAAAGCACAGATTGTGTTAAAGGTTGAAAACTAGCCCTCTAGAAACTGAGATTTTCCTCTTTTTTAAAAACAGAAGCTCCACTGTAATATAAAATTATTTTGACCAGTAAGAAAACTAAGTGCCTTCAGCACATGGTTTTGAAAAAGGATAGTAACCCAAAAGTTAAAAAAAAATTTAAAAACATATTTACTGACATACACAATTACAACTGGAGAAGCATTTGGTATACTAACACTAGTGCCTTTAAGCCATTTAAATTTTAATTATTTATTTATAATATTTTAAACTTATTTTTGAGAGAGAGTGTGCACGCAAGCAAGCAGAGGAGGGGCAGAGAGAAATGGAAACAGAATCTGAAGCAGGCTCCAGGATGTCAATACAAAGCCTGATGCGGAGCTCGAACTCGTGAACCACAAGATCATGACCTGAGTGGAAGTCAATGCTTAACCTATTGAGCCACCCAGGTGCCAACTATTAAATTTAAATAGAACTCTTTGGAAGCCCTGATTAATTGATGTTTCTAGTATGGTTTGCTCCCAGTCAATATCTACTCAATGGCTAGGAGAGAAAAAAGAAAGAGAAAGGGGGGCATGGAGGCCTATCTATCCACTCATTCTGTTACTCTTTTATGAAAAAACTGTCTGGGCTTCTGGACCCTAATCATCTGCTTTCTTTACTTCTTGAGGAACAGTGAAGATTCCTTCATGCTGAGGGTCTGGCCCTTCAGGGGCATGGTAAGTTTGGGGAGATTCTTCTTGCTGTCTCATCCACTTTTCCCTTGTGCTATTCTATTTTCCCTGCATTCCAATCACAGTGTGGACTCATTTCTGTTGTAGTCTCATTGTTTCTTCAAGTCTGTGACAGAACTCTCTACAGGTGATGAAGAGTTAACTGGGCATGCTCACCAGGCACAGTGGGTTTCAGTGAAAGGTGGCCCCACCTAGAGTTTAGATTCAGGACTCCAAGGTTGCCATGCTATTTTAAGTTGTAAACTTGGCTTGAGACATCACAAATTCACAATAGTAGGTATACTTTTCAATATTTCTAGGAAGAATCATGTCCTGTGAGTTATTTCTACATATCCCTCTTCCATCATAATTTTAAAAAGGAGGATATCATTTTTTAAATGAGTACCCAATACTGAAGAAGAAAAGCATTACCTGATGTTAAAGTGCCTGGTCAATATTTATTGATGTGATGAATACAACTATGGTTTTTATTCATACTACTCTTTTCTTTAGAGATAATAAAGTTTTATAATATTTATATTTCAGAGAGGTTTCTCAATATTTTTTTAAACAAAAATTACACTGAATATTTTGAATAGGTAATACATACATGTAGCAAAAGATGTTTCTCTCTCATAATTTCATCTATTAGCCATACAATTCCTCTCCCCAAAGGCAAACTCTATTCCAGTTTCTTCTGTATTCTTGTAGATATCTGATGAATTGTTTCCGATAACAATAAGTCTTAGTGGCCCAAAGAACTATGATTCTAACTTTCTAATTTATGTTGGTGTCTTAAGACTGATTTCCATTTTATAAAAAAATTTTTTTCAATGTTTTATTTATTTCTGAGAGAGAGAGACAGTGTGAGCAGGGAAGGGTCAGAGAGAGAGGGAGACACAGAATCTGAAACAGGCTCCAGGCTCTGAGCTAGCTGTCAGCACAGAGCCTGACGCGGGACTTGAACCCACAAACCGTGAGATCATGACCTGAGCCGAAGTCGGGCGCTTAACTGACTGAGCCACCCAGGGTCCCATGACTGATTTCTTATAATTAGTCTGTGGAGAACAATCTGTTTGTGGGAGATCAATTTGAAAATAAGCTAGTTCTGGTCTTCCTATGCTCATGGGACAAAAAGTTGATGTCTGATGGTTCCATTTTAGTTTTCGGGCTTTTTGTTGAGTTTATATGATTTAAAGAATTATTTCAAAGACTCAACATCACTAATCATCAGGGAAATGCAAACCAAAAACACAGTAAGAAATTACCTCACATTAATCAGAATTGCTAGTATCAAATAACAAGAAAGAACAAGTGCTGGTGAGGATGTAAACTGGTGAAGCCACTACGGAAAACAGTATGGAGACTCCTCAAAAAATTAAAAGCAGAAATACCACATGATCCAGTAATTCCACTCCTTGTTATTTATCCAAAGAAAACAGAAACACAAATTCAAAGATATATCCACTCCTATCTTTTTTTTTTTTTTTTAAATGTTTTTTTATTTATCTCTAGGAGAGAGAGAGAGAGACAGCGCGAGCAGGGGAGGGTCAGAGAGAGAGGGAGTCACAGACTGAAACAGGCTCCAGGCTCTGAGCTGGCAGTCAGCACAGAGCCCGAAGCGGGGCTCGAACCCACGAACCGCGAGATCATGACCCAAGCGAAAGTCGGACGCTTAACCGACTAAGCCACCCAGGCGCCCCTATCCACTCCTATCTTTACTGCAGAATTATTTGTAATAGTCAAGCAACCCAAGTGTCCATCAATAGACAAATGAATAAAGAGAATGTAAGGCAGATACATGCATATATACATATCTATATACATAATGGAATATTACCCAGATATAAAAAAGAATGAAATCTTGACATTTATGACAACATGGATGAACCTAGAGAGTATCATGCTCAGTGAAATAAGTCTGATTTCACTTGTATATGAAATCTAAAAAGCAGAACAAATGAAAAAACAAACAAAAACAGACTCATAAATACAGAGAACCAGTGGCTGCTAGAGGGGGTAGGGAGATAGGTGAAATAGGTGAAGGGGATTAAGGGGTCCAAATTTCCAGTTATAAAATAAGTCACAGGAATAAAAACTAAAGCATAGGGAATATAGTCAATGATATAATAACATTGCATAGTGACAGGTGGTAACCACATTTATTGTGGTGAGCACTGTAGAATATATTGAATTGTTGATTCATTATGTTGTACACTTGGGACTAATATAATATTGTATGTCAACTACACTTCAATAGAAAAAAAATAGAATTACTTCCAAGAAAACTACGCTATTTATGGCAACATTCTTTCAAACTTGATTTTAATACTAAAGGCACTCTTCATCCCACCCTGTAATTTGATAGATGATCTTGCAAAAAGAACTTTCTCTTCATGTTTTTAAGGTAATGTTAATGCCGAGACAATTGGCCACATAGATGACCTGATGAAGAATCCAGCTTTCAAACACTGCTCCTTCATATGATGGGCAGCTTGACCTTCTACTCATATTGGGTTATCCTTAAAAGGAAGCAAGTGTTCAATTTTAATTTACCAATCTAGTAATTTACTTTTTTATTGATAGGTTAATTTTTTTTCTTATTCTCCTTTGACTGGGGGCTGTCTTACTAATCTTTAATCTTCTATAAGACCCAGCACCACATCTTATATATAATAGGGGCAGCTACTGCACAGTGATTAAAAGCATATCCGTTTACTATGGGACTCTGAGCAGCTCTGTTTCTTAGTTTCCTCACCTATAAAATGAACATAAAGTCTTAAGATTGTTATAAGGAATAAATGAGATAAATGCAAGGAAAAATCTTACAATTGGGCACATAGACAATACATGGCAAAGGCTAACTATTGCTAGTAAATTTGTGTTGGCATTTTTTTTTAAGATTTTATTTTTAAGTAAGTACTACACCCAACATAGGGCTTGAACTCACAACCCTGAGACCAAGCATCACAAGCTCTACCAACTGAGCTAGCCGGTGCCCTTGTGTTGGCATTTAATATTAACTTTTAAAAAGGAATTTATCTAACAAACTTAACAATATATCTAGGACTAAAATAAAGTTGGGGAAAAAATGTTTCAGGATCTTACCCAGGGTTTGAAGCCCATTTCTGTACAGTTTCTTCATCATCACCATCACACAAATCAGCAAAAGCAGCTTCTAAATCTTCTAATTGGTGAATTCGAGTATCAACACAATCTACCAAATCTTCCTTTAAACACATTGAAAAGCCAACATTATAATTGTTCTTTGAAAAAATAAGTGAAATCCCATTGCAATGAAAATATCTGTTTAATTAGTTAAAACCATAACTTGTAAGTACTAACCCATGGGTTAGTTTTATGGGTTTACCAACACACAAAGATTTTGGTTAGATGTCTGCGAGCACTCTAATGGGCTATATTATTAGATACATAATAGACAAAACTGAAAAGAAACAAATGAAGGATACCTCTGTCAGGTTGGTATCAGGCTTTTTAAATTGGTATAGCTCTTGTAAGATTTTGTATTCTTCCTGGAAAACAAAACAAAAATCCACATAGTAGGAAAAAAAACCTAATTTTTTTCGATGATATTCTTCAAGTAAACAATAGCTGTGATATTAGAAAAATATCTTAGATAATCATTTAAAAACCAGTCTGTATAGTTCAGATGTCATTGTAAACACAGTCGTTTCTTCAGGGTAACTACATACTGACAAGAATGTATGAAAATTAGCTATGGAAAAGACTGGATATGAAAGAAGATTTTTAATAATATTCTACTCCACAAATGGGTACATCCTAGGATCTAAACAGATTTTCGCTATTTATAGGAAATATACATGTCCTGAATAACAAAATAACTATGTTCACTTTGCAGCCCTTTCCTTAGCCACAAAAGAGAACTGAGACTCAAAGATGATAGGAGAGGCAGACACCTTCTAAGCACTGACTTTGCAGGAGAATGTCTCCCTTCATTCAGCACACTTAATAGCTCCAGTATAGGTGGGTATATTTGGCCCCCAAATCACACTTAGGAATATTGTTGGGAAGATGTTATATATATGCAAGAGCTGAAGTTCACGAAGCACAATGTTGTGCCTTCACTGTAATAATCCTGTGAGTTGGGTGTGATTATTTTGATTTTATACTTAAACTGAGAGTCAGAAAGGTTAAGTAACTTTACCAAGATCATACAGCCAATAAGCAGAAGAAACAAATAGAATTTAACTTGTTATGGACTTATGCACATGTTCTTTAAAAATGGTAAACAACTGACTTTCTTAACTACATTTAAAAAATGTCTGTTAAATTATAAAGTATACTACAAGCTCTTTTCCACGTTCCATAGTACCAAAGGGTATAAAAATACAAAAGTCTCCACTACCCAGGTTTCCTCATAGCCCTGCCATTAAGCTCCTTATGTAACTGTTTAGACGTTTTCATGAAAAATATTTGAGGAGTATATTTGTAAAATAAATTCCTAAAGTTAGTTTCTTCAGCTTCCAGATGTGCCTATTCAAGTTTCCTAACCAGCTCTAAGGTCATTTAGTAATTCTAAGAACTTGTGGTTATAGCCACTGGGTCCACGTACAACGGCAGAAAGACACGGCAAATTTTCTCCCTTATTTACAAGCTGGGAAAATACTCTAGGTCCCCCATTCTTGTTCCATATTACACTCAATCCTCAAATCTTACCTATTTTTAATAATTACCTACTTACTTAGAGGTCTTTGATGACTTAGATAAACCACCATGGCTTCTGATACATACATATTGATTGTAAAATACATCGTTGTTATAATCACACACTGAATTTTGGTGGAAAAATGACCATTGATCTGAATCTCCAAAATAGGCCTGAACAACCTCCCAAATGTTGACGCAAGCAGTTGTGCCCATAAAATGCACCTAGGAATGATCATTTGGATGAACTTACTGGTTTCTTTAAAAAAATTTTTTAAATTAATATTTACTTATTTTTGAGAGAGAGAGTGTGAGCAGTGCAGGAACAGAGAGGGGGACACAGAATCCAAAGCAGGCTTCAGGGTCTGACCTGTTAGCACAGAGCCTGACATAGGGTTCGAATTTACAAACCGTGAGATAATGACCTGAGCTGAAGTCTGATGCTTAACTGATTGAGCCACCCAGGTGCCCCTGAATTTATCGGTTTCTTAAATACCTAGTTCTATCTCAGATCTGTGCATACTAATATTGTCTGGTGATTTGCATTTAAGATCTGATGGGGTACTCTATGGATTAGAGGCCTGAATCATTAGCCACAAGTAGTATATGTGTAATCAGGCACCTCATTGTTTAGTGAAAAATCTGTCACATAGGGCTTTACATATATAGAATATCTCTGGAAAGATACACCAAGAAGCTGGCCATGTTTGTTTCTGAGGTAAGAAACTAAGGAAATGGGGATGGGGTGAGAGAGTAACAATCTTTAATGTATATAAACTACAGGACTTTAGGTTTTTCAACTACCCATGTACATATTACCTCAATAAATATAAAATAAATACTAGCTAGAGCAGGGATTTGCAACCCACAGCCCACAGCCTGTTTTTGCATGGCCTTCAATTTAAGAAAGGTACATACAGGGGCGCCTGGGTGGCTTAGTCGGTTAAGCGTCCGACTTTCGCTTAGGTCATGATCTCTCGGTTCATGGGTTCGAGCCCCGCGTCAGGCTCTGTTCTGACTGTCAGCTCAGAGCCTAGAGCCTGCTTCAGTCTGTGACTCCCTCTCTCTCTGACCCTCCCCTGCTCACACTGTCTCTCTCTCTCTCTTTCCTGGAAATAAATAAAAACATTTTAAAAAAATTAAAAAAAAAAAAAGAAAGGTACATACAAACTTAAATTTTAAAAAAGGTGTGGATGATTTAAAAAGGTGTAATAACAGCAAAGAAGAATGTGTGATAGAGACCATATGGGCCCCCAATAAAGTAATTAATACCTGGTTGTTTGTAGGAAGTTTGCTGAGCCTTGATCTAGAGAAACGCCATACAATTCTCAAGATCTAAATTTTTAAAATACCACATATTTACCTGAGTGAACATTTCTTTGAAGGGATTCTTGACTGAAAAAAAATCCAAGTCAATATCTAAAACAAATGCATCCCCTTTCTTCAGAATTTCCAGAATTTCCCCAGTGCTGACTGTAGTCTGGCATTCTTGGCTTTCAGAAAAGCATGGATATGACTGCTCTAGACAAGTATGGCTCCTCTGCTGTGTCACTGTGTCCTTTTCCAGTCCTTCTGAATAAGAGTCACAGTTAGTAGAGGCAGTATTTTCTGCATCTTCCAGTGCTAGCTTTGGCTTCTTAGCAGAAGACACTGCATCATTTTCTTCTTGTTTGTTACAGAGTTTGTAAGGTTTTACCATAATCACATCCAATTGCAAAGGTTTTTGGTTCTCTAGCTGGTCTTCAGTTACATAAAGACCATCACTTAGAAAGTAATGATCTGTACTTGTAACCCTGGATTAGAGGAAAAAACTATTTTAAAGACAAATGGACAAATTAGCTGTCATTTCATATAGTATTTCCAAAGCACTTAGAAACATAACAAAGAACATATTTAACAAAAACTGAAAGCTATCTCTATGTTTCAATTCCTGTTCTTCTGCAAAAATTGCATTCCCCAAATTTTTAGCTGGGCACATGACTGCCCAAAGTAAAGACTGCGAAATAAAGATTTCATAATCTACCTTGCAGCTAGGTATGGCCATTTGACTGGCCTAAGGCTGTGAATGGAAGAGAAGTGTATAAAACATTGCTCTCCTCTCTTCGCTGACTGGTATATGAACATGGAAGTGGCAAGCCCACCTTGGACTATGAGGACAAAGGCAATACTCTACAAATGAAGCAAGAAGATAAAAGGAACTAGAGTTTCTGAGCCAGAAAACTGCCACATATGCCCTATATTGCATGTGGTAAACTCTAATATGAGAAAGAAAAAGGGGCGCCTGAGTGGCTCAGTCGGTTAAGCATCCAACTTCGGCTCAGGTCATGATCTCGCAGTTCATGAGTTCAAGCCCTATGTCAGGCTCTGTGCTGACAGCTCAGAGCCTGAAGCCTGCTTGGGATTCTGTCTCCCTCTCTCTTTCTGCCCTTACCCCAACCACGCTCTGTCTTTCTGCCTCTCAAAAATAAATACATGTTAAAAAAAAAAAAAAGAAAAGAAATGATCTTCTTTAAGCTAGTGTGTATTTTTTTAAGTTTTAAAAAATATTTATTTTTGAGAGAGGGAGAGAGACAAGAGCGTGAGCGAGGAAGGGGCAGAGAGAGAGAGAAACAGAATCTGAAGCAGGGTCCAAGCTCTGAGCTGTCAGTACAGAGTCCTGATGCAGGGCTTGAACTCATGAACTGTGAGATCATGACCTGTGCTGAAGAATGCTTAACCGACTGAGCCACCCAGGGGTCCCTTTAAGCTAGTGTTTTGGATCTCATACCAGCTGAAACTTTACCCAAATAATCACTTAATAGAAAAATTGCATCTGGAAAGAATTTCGCTTAACAGAAGTTCCCTCTGATGTGTTTCAAAGCTTTGTCAAATTTTATATAACCAAAATATTTTAATATGAAAAGCAACTTAAAAATCTTATACATAAGCAGAATGTATTTTATAAGTTACAGATTTCTAATTTTAGACATACTTAGTAAGTTCTTAGCTTTTCAACTATTTTATGCCTTGGCAAGTACTTTGAAAAGCAAAACTAAATGCTTCTTCTGAAGGCAGGCTCTCTCCAACTAAAATAAAGGTTAATATTTTTTTCTACTCCCCTTTCTCCAAGTATATAGCCTTAAACTTAAAAAGGTGTTAATTTTCCAAAATAAGATTAATGACATAATAAAGCTAATATCCAGGCTTATTATAAATTGTACCATCCTAAGACAGACAAAGGCTGTATCATCCAAACTAAATTTTCATTCTTCTTTAATAAAGGACCCTTCACTTTGTTCATGTCTATATAAACACACATTTTTGCATACCTGTATGTTTCTCTTCTGTAAATTATTATTTACAGGATTAAGTAACACCACCAGATAATCAATTCCTAATATTGTTATTTTACATGGGAGTTAGAAATGTCTGTTTCAGATTACTGAAAATTATTTGATTTTGCAGAAACCTGTTACAGGTCAAATTGGGCCTACTCATTGAAGTACTCGATAAAGGCACTACCATTCTTTCACATGTACCAGTATTATACATAGTGTTTATTCCATGTGGAGCCCTCTTTATTTAGTACTATGTCCTCAATAAATGCAACTTTCATGTACACACAACAAAGTTATTTGTGTAATTGATAAAAATATACAACAAAAGTTAACTATATTGTTAAGGATAAATCAGAAATAAAATCATTTTTAATGAGAAACACTGTATTTCATTTTCAATGTACTACCATTTTATCCCACTGTCATTTGTCTTCTAGTTAGTTATGGTTTCACTGCTTAAAACATTCATCTCATCATGAGAGAAAGTAGAAAGTCAAGAACATGTTAATATTTATAAAGATACAGTATTGCAATATACATAAAACACTGATTAAACAGCTTATACAACAAACATAGATGCACATGTAACTCAAGTCAAAGAAGGCTGTAATTTATTTTTTTTATTTATTTTTTTTTAAATGTTTTATTTATTTCTAGGAGAGAGAGAGAGAGAGACAGCGTGAGCAGGGGAGGGTCAGAGAGAGAGGGAGACACAGACTCTGAAATAGGCTCCAGGCTCCGAGCTGGCAGTCAGCACAGAGCCCGACGCGGGGCTCGAACCCACGAACCGTGAGATCATGACCTGAGCAGAAGTCGGACGCTTAACCGACTAAGCCACCCGGGCACCCCTGTAATTTAATTTAAATTAATTATCTAAAGCTAGCCATAATAATACAATTAAAAAAACTCCACATCTACTTTTTAGCTATCGGATTTACAAAAAAAAAAAAACCCAAAATGAGACAACTTTGCTTTTCCACTGCTAATTGTTAAATTCAGCAGACAAGTTATATTGTAAGGAAAAGCAAAATGTATAATTAAATACATAAATGTATAAGGTACTTCAATGATTTAATGGAATTAGTCATCAATGTAGCCAGAATTCCAGAAGATGGAGTTCATATTATTCAAAACCAACTTGACTAGCAACAAAATATAAATAACATGTGAGGAAGGCCCAGAGACTAGAGAACTTGGTTACTGGTGTTTTGAGAACTCTTTAAGTAGTTGAGGGTTAATCTGACCCTAACTGTATGTAGAGAACTTACGTGTTAATATGGGATTTCAAAGTAAGATCAAATAATTCATTCTCCTGGCTCAGTCGGTTAAGCATCTGACTTCCGGTTGGGTCATGATCTCACGGTTCATGGGTTCGAGCCCCACATTGGGCTCTGTGCTGACAGCTAGCTCAGAACCTGGAGCCTGTTTCGAATTCTGTGTCTCCCTCTCTCTCTGACCCTCCCCTGTTCACGCTATCTCTCTCAGAAATACATAAAACATTAAAAAGAAAATTAAAAAAAAAGAATTCATTCTACTCCATACTCATAAATATGACAAAATTACCTGATTGTTGTGGTAGAAGTGTCTCTGCCTACTAAAAAGTGATGTTTGCCCTCTCTGATTTGCTGAGCCCACGTGGGATGAAGCCACAGAATATGGGAAAAATGGCCAGCATAAACTGCAGGCATAATCCAATTCTCAATACTTAATTCTCTGGAAAAGAAACAGAAAGCATGAAGACTACTAGTGAGTGTTTTTTTCCAAACATAATTTCACCCAGAACAAGATTTTAACAATTTTCCTAATGACATCAAGGGCTCATTTCCCTTTTTCATTGTACAGACATTGGCACTAATGGTGCAAAGCAATGGTGGGTTGATGTCCTGAGATTAATCAAGGCAACAGCATCAACTCTACTTGTAGTCACTGTATTCTTCACTACCAAGCACCACTGGCCCCTCCCAAAGCCAGTTCCATGTAAAAAATCAATCAATAAATAAAAAGCCAGTTTACTAAATCTTGATCCTGAGTATACATTTTAAATATTCTGCGCAGCAAAATGAGACATGCACAAAAAGTATTTCTGCTACATACTTTGAGGTACTATGGTTGTTTGAAGGAAAAGTGCTTGTGACTGAACTGAAAACTGAACACAATTTTTCCTGAAAGATTGATCAACATACAATGGTTATTCTGACTTGCAAGTGAATTGTTGGATTCTACATTCCAACTGAGTTTTAAGAACCACTACTTGTCAAGTTTTGGTATGGTACTGAATATTCATAATTATCTGAAAAAGGTATGAAAATACTCTTCCTAAATTTTCCTCATATACTTCCACCAAAACAATATATGGCTACAGACTGAATGCAGAAGGAGATATGAGAACTAGCTGTTTCCTATAAAGAGAAATATTAAAGAGATGTGCAAAAAGCTTAAATATTGTTACTCTTCTCCCCAGATACTTTGCTTTAGAAAATATATTTTTCATAAAAATATCATATGTATGCTAACACATACAGGTCTATTAATTTGAAATGAATTATTATTTTAAACATTTCTCAGTTTTAATTTCAAATACGGTAAATGTCAATAGATATAGCCCACACTTAGAAGAAAGCTCAGTAGTTTTTAGGAGTATACAGGAATACTGAGACTAAAAAGTTTAAGAATTGTTATTCTACAACTAACTGTACAGTCTGCATACTTATTTCATAATTCTTTTCAATTTGTAAAATATGATACCTCTAAATACAAAAGACAGTAACAGCTATGGTGGAGTTACCACATTTCTTTAGAAATTAGTGATCTAATGAGGTTCTGGAAAAAGTCAACTGAAAGAAATGTAGTAGGTTAAAATTAATTCATGTAAACATCTATCTTTTAATTTTATATTACAAGGAAAAATTACCTTAATTTTTTATATGGTATGAGTAGGCTACATTCTAACAAAATGCGTACATAAACACTGGCAGAATTTCCGAAAACTTTATTACTGAAGAAAGGCTTCTAAGTCAATGTTTATAGATGGATTATTCCTTCCTGGGGAACATGGCACAAATTGGGAGGCTGCAAGGACTCAATACTGGAAGGAAGGATATACAAATTAAAGTTGTGTTGCCTATACAGTTTAAGTTTAAAACGTGTTTAAGACACATTTTCTTGTGCCTTAGTATCCAGACTTTGTAAGGGGAAAGAGAATTGGCTCAGATAACATCTAAAGTCTCTTCTACTTCTAACATTGGCTAGGTCACCTGTTTTTGTTTCTTTTTTAATCAAATTTTATTTTTTTTAATGTTTAATTTGAGAGAGAGACAGAGAACATGAGCGGAAAAGAGACAGAGAGACATAGAACCCAGAGCAGGCTCTAGGCTCTTAGCTATTAGTACAAAGTGATGAGGAGCTTGAACTCACAAACTGGGAGATCCTGACCTGTGCCGAAATGGTATGCTTAATGGACTAAGCCACCCAGGCACCCTTAGGCCACCTATTTTTGTAAATAAAGGTTTTTTGGAACATAACATTGCCACACTCACTTGTTACATGGTATTTGTGGTTGCTTTCATACTACAAAGGCAGAGAGAAGTAGTTGCAACACAGACCATATGGCCAAGAAGCCTAAAATATTTACTATCTGGCTCTTTAAGAAAAAGTCAACATTTGCTGTAAAAATAAAAAATGCAAACAAAACAGAAACAAAACACATGAGCTTAGCAAAGGCTATGTCCCTTAGTTGTTTATCATATCTGCAAATTGTATATGAAGCACATAAAAGATCACTAACAGGGGTGCTTGGCTGGCTGTTGGTGGAGCATGCAACTCTTGATCTCAAGCTATTGAGTTCGAGCCCCACATCAAGGGCAGAGTTTACTTAAAAAAAAAATCATTAAGAAAAATCACATATTACCCGAAAAGTGTTTCCTTGTCAAACACAGTGTCAGCTGGCATATTCACAGGAATAAGGAGGTCTGGATGCGAATCAAAATGCACAAAACTTATATTACTGGCAGGAAGATGCTTTGAGCCAATAGCCCGGTATATGTAGGGCAGAACCTGTAAAAACACACGCGCACATTCAGAACTGGCACCGAAATCATAAGCATACACTCAGCTGCAGACTAAAGAACAATGGTAGCCACAACTGCACATAAATGGAAGCACACCGAATTGTTGAAAAGTAGGCAAACATAAAATGTGTTCATCATAGGGGGCTTTAGATGACGTTCTCAAGCTTCATTTTTTTTCCTCCGAAGTTCCAAGTTGCACCTCCAAGGGCCTTAATGGGCATCTCTTGCTGCCATGTTGCCCCAACACACGCTCAAAAGATAACGTGGGTAGGGGCGCCTGGGTGGCTCAGTCGGTTAAGCGTCTGACTTCGGCTCAGGTCAAGATCACACGGTTCGTGGGTTCGAGCCCTGCATTGGGCTCTGTGCTGACAGCTCAGAGCCTGGAGCCTGCTTCGGATTCTGTGTCTCCCTCTCTCTCTGACCCTCCCCCGCTCATGCTGTCTCTCTCTCTCTCTCAAAAATAAGTAAAATATTAAAAAAACAAGATAACGTGGGCAAATAGACTGGTTCTCAGGAAAAAACTGGTCATTAGTGCACATTCTGGCATTCAGGATGTGTCCCGGCTACCCTGGGTCTCCCGGCCTTTCCCACACCTTAGGACGGTGGAGCTGGGCTAGGCGGTGTGTCAGGCTCTTGTCCCCTTACAATCTCTGTGCTTCTAGACTTAATACTAAATTGGAAAGCACAGATTAACCCAGGCTTGTGCTTTCTCCCAGGTCCTGGGAAACCCAACTTCCTTCCTCTCCTCTTAACTTCCTTCATCTACAAATCCGGACCTACTCCCTCCCTCTTTCGTATCCAGACAACCCCAAGGTCTATTAATTAAAAGAAAGAAAGAAAAAAAAAAGGCCTTAGATCCATGGGCCTCCCTCACAGGCTTCCCGAAGACTAGATAAAAGCACCGTTTTAGCTACTCCAAAGTAGCACTGCCATAAATTTGGAAAATACCTTCAGTATTTACAAACGCAGGGCTGTGTTAGAGGACTTCTAAGGAATCTTTTTAATGTTTATTTTTGAGAGAAAGAGAGAGCGAGAAAACGAGAGACAGAACGCAAGCGAGGGAGGGGCAGAGAAAGCGAGACCCGAAATCCGACGCAGGCTCCAGGCTCCGCGCTGCCAGCACAGAACCCCGGGTGGGCTCGGACCCCGAGATCGGGACCTGAGCCGAAGTCGGATGCGTAACCGACTGCCCCCCACCCCCACCCCGGCACCCCTGCATTAAAGGATTTACGTACACACTAGGCACACAATAATACCAGCGGCCCTAAGGGGCTGATAGTCCCATTTCACAGATGACAGCCCACATTCTTTGCAAAAACCTTCCCACCTACGCGGCAGGGCTGTGTTGGAGCCGCCAGGGAGAGCTGGAAGCCTGCGTTAACAAGCAGGTTAAGGACACGGGACTCTGCAGTCAGAATGCGGAGGTTCGAATCCCGACGCCACCAGATGTTGGTTGTGGGATTCTGGGCAAACTGCAAGGGTTAAATGAGTTGCCCGACGCGTAGCAAGCAAACCATAAACATCAGCGCCTATTCCTCCCAGGTAGTCGCTTCGGTGTTTTTCCCCACGGCAATGGAACTCGCGCGGGTAAACAAATTCTGATGAATTCTGGCCTTCGAGGCCGAGGCTCTACCGCCTCCCGGGCCCTCACGCGATTCTGCCTCAGGACCCAGCCTTCGCCGGCTCACCTCCTGGTGATCCTCCACGACCCACACTGGGAGTTTGGGGTAGCGCCGGAGGCGAGCGCGCTCTCCCACAGAGTGTGCACTCATGGCTTCCTCGCCCGGCAGCGTCCCGGGGAGCAGCAGCGGCGAGCCTAGGACTCCGGAAAGCCGGGGCCGCAGCCTCACAGGCCCTCCCGGGTGGAAGCGCGCGCTCACCCGGTTGTGGTTCCTCATTGGAAGATGTAGAGGGGAAGGGGGCGGGCGCCAGGGAGCTCTACGAAGGCGATTGGCTTAGGTGTCCATTGCTCTGGTTGACGCACCAATCACTGCGCACAAGGCGCTGTGGCCGGCCCACAAGCTTTCTCTGTAGAGGTACAGCTTTCTCCGGTTTGCTTTTTAATATCCTCGGTTTCCTGTTCCGGAGGCGCGCGAGGCGCCACAGTCCCGGCGCCTGTAGAATAATCCTGGCTTTGCTTTGACGGCAGCCTCGCGGCCCGAGAGCCTTTTGTAGGTAAAAGGGGCAACTTGTGGGTGTTGGAAGAGGGAGCGTTTCCGAGTGTCCGGGTTTAAACGGGGCTGGAGCCCGGGGCTGGGGCGAGAGGCGCCTTTGAGTTACAGTCGGGCAGCCCCTCTTCAGATCTGCGGCTAAGGGCAAAAAAAGCGACCCTAGGCCCGAATCCCGCAAACAAGTAGAAATGAAAAATGAGACGTTTCATTCATTTGTGGGACGCAGGCGGTGGTCCAGGCCTAGGGCCGCCGGGGTGTCGGAGTGCAGCGAGACCGTGAGCCCCGCGCTTGCCTCGTGTGGCTCACAGTCTGGCGGGAGATGCAAAGAGGGAAAACCGCAACTGCAGATCAGCTGGACGAATGTGACCGGCCTGCAGATGCAAGAGGGGGATTGGGGGGGAGGGGAAGGCGTTCTTAATAACGTAGTAGTTGCACCCTTTGCAACTCTTGCAACATAGGCTGATGTTCCTGGACGCTTTAACCGTACAAAACAGTTCCCCCAGTTTCCCTGCTTCCAAACAGCGGCCTAGGAGTAGACCTACGCAGAAAATAATTACTTTTCCAGTTGCAGTGAGTTCCTTGAACTTTTGAAGTAAAATTTGCATCCGTAAAATAGCCTGACTATGCCTTTAATATGTCAGTTTTATAATTAGCGTTTTCAGATATTCTTTGTATAGAAACATCCAGGAGGATCTAATCCTGAAAGTTCAACTCTTAAACACCGTACAAGAATGTTAGTATTCCTGTTTCCCACCTCTAGGTTCAGCACTCCTTTGTATTCCCCTAGACGCTGTGTTGAACCCTTTTCTCTTGTTTATTGCCGTATTTAAAAAAATGTATTTGTAAGTGGATTCAGAGGTTGAGTCTTGCAGGCTGTGTGTCTTACTCAACTTTGAGTCCACGGGGCCTGTGACATGTATAAGCTCATTGAATGTTGCATGAATCAGTGAACAAGTCCGCTCTTTGTCTGGTTTTGATAATGTAAATCTGCCTTGGATATATGTGAAAGGGAAATGTATGGTAGCAACATAGAAACGTATGCCGTTGGTGAGATAGTAAACATTTACTGACCATCGATTGTGTCTAGGATGTTCTGCCAGGAGGAGCTGTGAAGGATACAGAAATGGCTATGAATCAACCCATGTCCTCAAGGAGCTAATAACCTGGTGGAGAAGTTAGAAATGTGCACACATGACTGTAATATGAGGCAGTCTCTGGTAAGTACTGTAAAAGGACTAAGCACAGACTAAGCAATGGAAGTCTAGAGGGAATGGAATTATTTTCTAAAGGGAACTAGGAAAGCGTTCACAGAAGAGGTGGCATTTGTAGGTAGATGAAAATTCAGTGGGCAGATTAATAGAGTAGGGGATTTTGGAAGAGTGGGAACAAAGAACAGGCTGGGTGATAGCACTTTGTATGTTAAGCACCTGGAGAAATCTGGGATGAAGGGCGCTTTATGGGAAGGTAATGGAGGGTAAGCTTGGAAGAAGTTAGGTCCAGGTTGTAAAGGGCCTTAAATGCCAGACTTGGAGTTTGAATCTGATTCCGTTGGCCATGAATCTTGCCAGCCTGCGGTGGCAAGATCAACTGTGTAGGTCCTAGGTTTATCGCGAAGGTCTTAGACTGAATAATAATCATGAATCAGATGTTATTTGGTGTCTACTAGTTCTTAACCACAGTGACTGGTACGGCTAGATAATCAAATTATTTTCGTGAGCCTTTTGTAAATCTACTTTAAGCCTATTGGTAAAACTTTTAGATAGATGTCAGGAAGATGCTTCTACATTAAAGTTTTTTGCACTTAATATTTATTTGAGTTTTTAAAACATTTTGCTGAAGCTTAAGTATTTGGAAAGTCGTTCATGTTCACAGAATTCTTCAGTGGAAAGAGCCGAGGATGAAATCAAGGATAACTGTTGTGTTATAAGGTTATAGTTATGTTTGAATTTGATTGCTAGTCTTATTGTGATAAGGATATCTTAAAAGTTACTTGGAAACTTTAATTCGGGGGAACATACTCCTAATTTTGTTAGTATGCTAAGTGCATTAGGGAATGCAAAATTAGTGTTAAGATAATTGTGGATGTTAGCAGTTTGGGAAACATTTTTATGTCTGTTTTATTCTTTCTCTTCTCTAGAGTTTATATTCTCTGTGGAAGATGTGACGTATCCAGACAGTACGTCATGATGCAAGGCAATACGTGGTGAGTGGTGTGACAGTCACGGCAGGGGATTTGGAGGAATAGAGAGAAGAGAAACGCTGCCCTAGAGAGTGGGAAGGATTTAGATATGTGGGGAGAGGAGGAAATGTGTTCACATGGGTCATGTACATGGTTAGGAACTTAGACTGGAGCCCTGCCCTGACGCAGCTTATAATTATGAGGTGCAGGCAAACGCAAAAGGTGGAATTAGTTGTGAATTGTAATTAAAGGACCTGCCAAGAAGAAGCACCAAGTGTGAGAGCGGGGAACCGGACAAAGGCCTGGTAGGTGGTAATAGTGATTGTAGAAAGTGCGGCAGCGGCGTTATTATTATAGCCAGGGGAGAAACAATGGTGTGAAGTGGATGAACTCAGGAAGTGTTTATGAAGCAGAAATGATAGGAATTTAAAATAAGTTTTTGGCTAAAGGGGATAAGGGAGGAAAAGTTGTCAGATAATTCCCTGGCACATAACTTGAAGAACAATACATGTTATTATCTATTGAGATAGGAAACACTAAAAGAGGAGCTGGTGGTATTGTCTTGGAGGGAAGGTCATTAATTCCTTTTAGGACATGTTATGTTGAATTTGCAGTCTCTGCTGAGTGTGGAGGAAGGTAAAGACAGGAAGATAGTGGCGCAGGTGGAGGAAGTGTGGGGTGTGTGGGTGGGATGGCAGGCAAGGATCAGACTTCTAGGGAGCCTGAGCAAGGACATAATAGCAGATGGTTAAACAGCGGTATGTTGAGTTGACCATTCTCGAGGAACAGCTTTAGAGAGTGACGGAGTCCGGGGACTGAGACCGGGGAAAAGGAGTTTATTGGCCTTGAGGACTCTTGAGGTATTACAGAGAGCTCAGCGTTAGATGGGTGGAATCTTCTCGTGGCTGAAGGGGTCTGTTAGTTGCTCTTGAAGATGGTTAGGCATTTGTGAAACCTGGTTTATGGTAAGTTTTGGTTCTTCTTCCCTTTTCTCTTTTTCTTTCCTCCCACAAAGTCATAGAATGTCATTCCACCCAGGACGAGGGTGTCCCCGAGGGCGAGGAGGACATGGAGCCAGACCCTCAGCCCCAGCCTTCAGGCCCCAAAATCTGAGACTCCTTCACCCTCAGCAGCCTCCTGTGCAATATCAATATGAACCTCCAAGTGCCCCATCCACCACTTTCTCGAACTCTCCAGCCCCCAGTTTTCTGCCTCCACGACCAGACTTTGTACCCTTCCCTCCACCCATGCCTCCATCAGCCCAAGGCCCTCTTCCCCCCTGTCCTATTCGGCCCCCCTTCCCCAACCACCAGATGAGGCCCCCCTTCCCAGTGCCTCCCTGTTTTCCTCCTATGCCACCTCCGATGCCCTGTCCTAATAACCCCCCAGTCCCTGGAGCACCTCCTGGACAAGGCACTTTCCCCTTCATGATGCCCCCTCCTTCCATGCCCCATCCCCCACCACCTCCGGTCATGCCACAGCAGGTCAATTATCAGTACCCTCCAGGATACTCACACCATAATTTTCCACCTCCCAATTTTAATAGCTTCCAGAACAACCCCAGTTCATTCCCACCCAGTGCTAATAACAGCAGTAGTCCTCATTTTAGGCACCTCCCTCCGTACCCACTCCCAAAAGCTCCCAGTGAGAGAAGGTCCCCAGAAAGGCTCAAGCACTACGAGGATCACAGGCACCGGGATCACAGTCATGGGCGAGGTGAGCGGCATCGGTCCCTAGATCGACGGGAACGAGGCCGAAGTCCTGACAGGAGAAGACAAGATAGTCGCTACAGATCAGATTATGACCGGGGGAGGACGCCATCGCGCCACCGGAGCTATGAGCGGAGCAGGTAAAGCACATGCGTGTTTTTAATGAGCTGCAGAGGTCCAGTCACGGGCCTTTTGGGTTTCTCAGCAAACCAGACCAAAAAGGTCCAACAGTGCATTTTGATTTATACAGGGAAGAATGTATGTTTTGGGCTGTTTTTTTTTTAAATATTTTATTTATTTCTAGGAGAGAGAGAGACAGCGGGAGAGACAACTGACAAGTAATGTCAGAAAAAGCCACCTTTGAAAAGCATTTCAAAATTATCAGTGTAGATTCATTTCAATGAGTGTAAGCTGATTACTCTGCATCATACAGCTGTCGTTTTAATGGTGATCTAATGAAAGTTCATGTATTATCTTTTCGTGTGTTAATTGCATTATCATATTTACTTTTGTTTAGTACGATCACCATATCAGCTTACAGCACCTGAGTTCTTTTCGAATTGATCTGTGTATGTTATCAATTGGAATCAGACTAGTTAAGCAGAACTTGCTGTCCGGTTTTTAGGATAAATGCGAGTTTATTGTACGTAATTGCCTTCCTGCTTTGTTTCCTTGTAAAGTGCGATGACATTGGTTACACATCAAAGTTTTAAAAATAGCTTTAAAACTGTTTTGTTGCATTGAAATGTATTCATAGTGAAGAAAGTTATGTTTTAAAAATACTGTTTCATTCTA